ATTATAATTATAATACAAGCCAGTGATACATGCACACACTTGTTATTTCATCAATAACAATGCTTATGAGCATGAAATGATGAATTTCAAGAAAATAATTAATTAAAAGCCTAGGTTTCCTTAATTTAAAAAAAATAAATAAAACAAACATAGGAGAAATATTACCATTCCCTAGGATTATTCAATATTATTCACCTTTGCCTATGATAGATTGATGAGCATGATAATGATAAATCAAAACGAATATCACAATTGAAGGAATTGAATAAACCTAGGGTTCCAAATTTTATTTTTAAAAAAAAAGTTAAACAAGAACAATGAAATAAAATATTACCATTCCACTAGTTTTTCTTCCACAAAACTGTTTATATTTGCCAAGGCCTAATTAAAAATTTTTTTGTGTGGAAATAATGGACAAGTAGGTCATCATGCAGCTGTGAGCAGTTTTCACAGAGCATTAGTCATATAACATACGATGACAGCAAGACGTCCAGCAATCTATATATAAAATTCGCCAGCAAAGGTCAAACAAGACTGTTCAAACAAGACGCAGGCTATTTATAGATACGGCAGAGTGTGCTTCAATAATGAGCTCACTAGCGCGCAAAATATAATTCCCGATAACTACGCTAAATGATATATATTTTTTTTTAGTAACGCAATTGGGTTTGGTGCGTAATATTTTCTTTTCGGAAATGAAATCGTCTCAAGTTAAGTATTGTGTAAAAAATATTCGGTTTAAAAGTTGTTGGGACATGAGAATATTAATATAGTTCATGGGCGTGAAATAAAAAGTGTGCAGTGACGTACAATGGGGGAAGGGGTGTAGCAAATATTGGAATTCTTTTAAATATGCATTACTTGAGTTCAGGTTTTGTCAAGTAACTTTACTGCATGGGAAGTTCACGCATAGCTTTAGCCAATGTTTGGCGGGCTATATCTAGTAATGAATATCGGATTGCCAGGTTAGGGACAGACAGACAGTCTCAACTCTGGTATAAGACCGAAAAACCCAGTCACTTTCGTCCGAAACCAAAATTAAACCGAAAGTTAACATTTCGGTTTCAGCCGAAACCGAAATTAGGCCGAAAGTAATCAAATGGCCACTTTCGGCGCCGAAACTGAAGCCGAAATTCGGTTGGTCTTTACTTAAAACTTTTATTTTTTTCTCCTTGTAGATCATTCAGACGCCAGGATTGTGGGAAACAAGCAGTAAAAATCTAACCTTGAGTAATCATGGCCCTGAAGGTCAAGGACAGTCCTGCTATTGTGTGCTATAATGTTGATATCATTGAGTAGAATGAACAGGTTGTTTTATTTAGCCTCTGTAATGTTAGCGAGACACTGTCAATTTGAAATGCCTTTTTGAAGCTTTCAGAAATATAACTGTTTTATATCTGAGACTATTGTGAGCATTTTAAATTTTTATGTGAGTTGGGTTTAACTGAGGTAAGGCTTTAATATTTTGTGTGCTTCTGACTGTGAACACCATGAAGAACAAGTTTGGCTAAACCTGTGCCAGGAGAGATGATCTAGACATTACTGATATAACTGACAGATGTTATAAGCTTGAGCGATTCATGATGTGTGTCTTGGAAATGGCTGTAGTTATTGAAATGTGTCATTATGTAATATACAAAATTTAATTTGATAAATTACAACTATATTTAATAGTTGATAACGATTTTCCTCTTTCTTTATTTTGTATTGACGCTTATTAGCCTGTAAATAATATCTGCTTGTAAAATTGACCATTAACAAGATAGTGCTGACAGTGAAACAATATGTGGTAATGGACAATATAGTGCTGACAGTGAAATAAAATGTGACCATTGATAATATGGGCAATGTCCAAGTTTTTGTAAAAACATAGACTCATGGCTTTTTTCAGTTTGGGTTGGTTCCAGTATCGTGTACGATGTTTATAAACTCGATTCGAGTGAAACAAGTGGGGCTAACTAAAACAGACCCAATACAATATTTTTAAATAAAAAATGTATTCTTCTAATCAGAATAATTTCTTTACTTTCAATTCATGGTATCGTCATCCAATCCATGTTTACTTAGCCAAAGCATGGCAACCACAAATGATATGAAAGCAGAACCAACCCATTTCCTCTGCTCTCTCTGAAAATAAACTGACTTTTTCTAGGTGTTTGTACCCCATAGTGCTGACAATGAAACAAAAAGTGGCTTTTGGTAAATTGTAGTCACTATAATGATTGACTGCCAATCTCCTCTTGTCTTAAGTATAAGTTTAAGCTACATTTATGAAAGATGCCATGCTAGTTAACAATTGCGATTCAGAATAAAACAATGTCAGTTAGGTACTGGTATTCCAAAAAGAAGAGCATTATAGCTGTCCGCAAAAACTTAGTACAAAGAGAAAGCAGTGAAGTGGTGATGGTCCTGTCATTGCATGGTCTCTTGTAATAAGCAAAGTGTTCATCTATTTCTTTCAGTAAAGGAATAACCTAAAGAATGGGGAAATTCAGAAATTAGAAGTCTATCTTATTCTAGTTGCTTTTCACCTGTACAGTATGACCCATCAATACTAGTTTCTGTATGATGCTTTCCAGTCTGCTTTGTACTGTCCCCCTTGTTAAAATCTGACACATATAAAGTATACACTTTTGATATATGTGTAACGATCTGAAATACTGAATGTTTTTTCAAATATTTTCATGGTTTCATGTGAATATAATTTACGGATGTATAATATGCCAGTATAAAATGCATTTTATGCCATTTACCTTTAAAGATTGGAATTGAACCAATGCTTATCTTCCAATCGGGGCTGTGGGTTATGGGAGGTTGAAAGCTAATGATAATAACTCTACTTACCGCATAGCCTGAGGATTTTTTTTCCGAAGAGGTTTTTCTGTCTGATTGTTTGCAACAGCTTAATCCAAAACTTTTAGAGCTGACCTCTGTGCTTCCAGTTAGAATCACACCCTACTCATTGGTTGTGAGGGGAATAGATCAGAAATGCTGCTCTCTTGATCCACTCTAAGGCTACTCATTAGCTGTGAGATGAATAGTTCAGAGTGGCTGCACTCTTGATATTACCTAACTGAATTGACTTGAAGAATGGTAGCAGGTGGGGGGATAGAATGGATGTCAACTAAATTTACACCATGGTTTTGGCAAGATATGATTGTAGAAGCACTTTTTTTATGGGTGAACATAAAATTGTATCACAAAACACTAGTTAGTAATCATTGAATGCACCCCAGCTAAAGGCCTTACAAAGAAAGAAGAAGCCTGAAATCACACCGACTATCTAAGTTTTCATACTTTACCAATACTCTTTATTCTACAAAGATAAGATTCTTTTATTGATCCAAACAAATGGAAATGTTTTTTGATTGCATTGTACATTACAAAGCTCTGTCTTGCTTCAAAAAGCTTGTCACAACTGACTGTCCTCTGAATTGTTGTCCTTTGATAAATAACACATCGTTCTATCAGCTTCAAATAAATCTACTAAAAATACCACTTATAAAGAACCAATTGCACTATGTAAGTTTATTCAACAAATTTGTGAACCTGAGAGATAATAGTATTTCTCCATGTCAAATAACGGACAAAATAAAGACATTTTCAGACATTTATTTAGTACTGACTAAAAAAATCACTTGTTTAAAAAATGGCCAGTAACGGAAGGATTCATGGTGTTTTTACTGCAATGCTTATATGATTTTGTTAGATTTCGGAACATCATAAGTTAATAACCCATAGTTTTGTTTCTATTTGGCTAATTCATGGATTGACAAGTGTAAAGGTCATGTCTTTAATAAATAGTTTGTTTTGTTTTATATTCATACTTCCTGTGCCATGACAGGCGTGGTTAAATTTTTTCACAAGTGCTGGCCACAATATATTCAAGACCATGTCCCATAATTTATTAATTTATATTCACTTGGCATTGTCAGGACGTTTTTTTTTAAACTTCAAGACCCTAAGGAAATGGGACGTTTTATAGCACACATTAATCACAATCGAATGTTGGGTGGTGACTTGTTTTACTCACTATATGTAGACCAATAGATTAAATATATATTTTAGACATGCACATGTTTGTTGTTGGAAGATAAGTGCACTAGTTACTATCCAGACCTCTTGTTAGTGTGAAAACAAATATGGGGTACTTGATAACATGCTTGGAACTTGCCATATATGGAATGAAACACCTGGATTCGAGGAGGGGAGGGTATGGTCAGATGCTTAACAAGATCTTTGATCATGCTGAATATAGTCTTTTTTGAGGAATTTTATTCTGCACATTGCCTTAGTCAAGATGGACTCAGAACCAGGTCTTATTTTTTAATCCTTCCTTTTACAGCTTTCAGGATGTTGTTTCGGTTATTCATGTTATCCAAAAAGAGATCAGAAAATGTTTAAGAAAGCACCTGGGAAAAAGTAGTGTTTGTAATTAAGTAGTGTGCAACCCCCCTCCCCCCCTTCTTTTTTCCATTGCCCAGTGAAAAAAAAATCATGTGTGTCATTGTGACCATATGTCAAATAAAATTGTATGCATTTAATTTATCTTATTACCCTGTCATGACTGTAAACTTTAATTTTTTTGATTTCATAACTAAATAACTAGAAAACATTTTTTTCGCTCTTGTTGTAATGATTGAATGCATGGTTTAGATATTTTGAATATGGCCTTGTATTTTATCAAATGTACATTGTAAAAATAAAACAAAACAATGCCACCAAATTGTATGTGTAAATAATAAATACAATAGCAAAATATTCTAAATACTTTCTTTTGTGAATGGATGTTGCTAATTTATTGTTGTCAGTATTTGGCTATCAAGATTGTGCTCAAGGAATATGGATTTAAGAGACAATGTGATGCTCAAGCCTGGTGGATATTAAAATTTATTGCACTCATTGAAAGGGGATTGATAAGGTCAGAGTTCAAAATGACTTCTGGCTGGTGTTAAAAAATAATAACTGTTTCAAAAATGAAAAGCACATTCTGACCTGGTTTATTTCTTCCTGTAAAACCAGGAATATTTATTCGTTTTTAAATAATCAAGAAATATCAACACATTTTGTATGCAACACTAGCATTAAAACAATGTTATGACAGACATCAAACATTATCCAAGTGAAATGCAGGGAAATAGTTCAGATGAAATCCTGCTGAGAAATAGTTCAGATGAAATCCTGGAGGGAAATATTCAATGTGAAATCTTGCAGGGAAATAGTTCAGATGAAATCCTGCTGGGAAATAGTTAATGTGAAGTCGTGCAGGGAAAAAGTTCAAGTGAATTCTGTAACTGCAGAGACATTGCCTTTAGTAAATCCAACAGTCAAACTGGTGTTGAAATTGAAATAGCTGCTCTGTCCACTCTGCAGTGTCATACCATTCTAATTATAGCTCTTCTTTGTCTTTCAGAATCTGCTCTTCCTGTATATGGTCTAATTTTTCAAAATCCCCCAAATCGGGTAGATAAGTTGGTCCCTCCAACAAGTTAAAGGCACCTGTACATTCACCTGCCTCAGAATCTTGATCTGTTTCTTCATTGACCTGCCCCAACTCATTCAACCTCCTCCTCATTGTGTACATCCTCTGTTCAAGGCACAGCCTGGTCTCCACCAACTCCTTTGTACGTTTGTCTTCTTCTGCCTTCTTCTCTGCCTCACGAATCCTTTCTTTGGTGTTTTCTGAGTTTTCATCTATCTTGCCTATAACAACACTGACCACGTGGCTACCGTTCAAATCTTGGGCAGACACTGTCAGGATGTAGTTGACGTCCACTTCAAAAGTGACCGTGATCTTAGGGACCCCTCTGGCTGATCTTTCAATGATGGGCACATCAAACTGACCCAGAAGTTTGTTGTTGAGACAGAACGGGCGTTCACCTTCATAAATCTGTTAGACATTAGCAATTATAATGCATTAGTTTAGTCCAGGGCATTTGTATTGTTTCCATTACCATTTTTATTTTGTAACCGAGAGAAAGTCAAAGGGGAAGGTTGGGGGGTTGAGAGGAAGTGTTATTTCCAGATCAGATTGGAAGCAACTGTTCCCCCTCTGAGAAGATGACCCTGCCCCAGATAGTATATTTTCTGATGTCCACATTCTTAATTAGATCACTACCAGTTCTGTCTTCTCTCCAACTCTGCACAGCATCCAGACCTGTTTACCCTCAAACCCTTAAAATCGTACAATATCATCACAAAATTGTTCAATACCTTATATTTATAGTAAAAAATAAACATACAGTATATATGTTTACACCTCAAAATCGTACATTGTATGCCAAAATCGTAAGAGTAAACAGGTCTGAGCATCTGTTAAATTCTTTTTAGTTTAGTTTTCACTTTATTTTATGTTTTTCTAAAGAATGCTCAAAATGCTTCTTTTTTTTTTTTGTGCAGACACTGCCAGACACTGCCTTTGTTTCATTTTATTTTTTTGAAAAGTGGACAGCATTTATTTATTTTTATATATACATATATAAAAATATGTATTTCAAAACCATTGACATTCAGGTATAGCTGTCTCACCTGAATGGTGACGGCTTCCTGGTCATCTGTTGCCGTGGAAAAGATCTGATGCTTTTTGGGGATTGGAATTATTGTAAATTTTGGTATGACGGGACTCATGAGTCCTCCATTTGTCTGTATTCCAAGTGCCAATCTGGTCACGTCTAGGTATGGCTCAATGTCATCGTACTTTTCAATATAAGCTGCTCTGTTTTTACTCCCGTAAAGTATAGCCAACTCTGGGTCAACGCTCAATAAGAGCTCCTGAAACAAGTTATATAATAATGTAGATGATTTTAACAATTTATCTAACACTAACATTAGGCTGCTCCTCCTAGATGCATAGAATGTAAAATTGCATAATGAGAATGAAATATAATTTTAGGACCTAATTAAGTTATCTTAAAGTATTATGATTATTGAAAAAGTAATGACAAGAAAATCATTAATCACTCTATTCAACACAACACTGTCAGCTTATGTACATTTTACCTTTAATATCAGAGAGTGCATTATTAATGCATTTGATATAGATCTGCTTGCGTTTCAAATTTGTTTTTTACTTTGGCTACAAACAAAAATATTCCTAGAGAGAGCAAGACAGAGCAGATATATAAATAATATGTAGTTTCTTTTAATTTTTGAAAATATATCAACTGGTTAAAAATATAAGCCTAATAGTAATACTTTTTGTTGCGAGAAGAACATTTTGACCATTTCCTGAATCTTTGGAACTTTGGTTGAGCCTCCCACCATAATGATGTCATCAATTTCATCTGGTCTCATGTCGGCATTTCGTAAGACATCGGAGATAACCGATACCACTTTTCCAAACAGACCCTTTTAAGGGAGAAAAAAAAATTCAAAATTAATTAACTATAGGCCTAATTGTCTAACAGGAAATAACAATTATGGATAAAGATAACGCAAATTATTTTTTACTAATTTTTTTAGAAAATAAGCAATTTAATAGTTACATTGTAAAGTGAAGGGAAAACTAGTTGTTTCTTCTCTTTTGCGACATAGTCTAATGACACATGGTCTAGTGACACATTGCCTAGTGACAGTCTAGTGACACATAGCCTTGTTACACATAGCCTAGTGACACACAGTCTCAGCCTATAAGTTATTTCATAGCCTAGTGACACACAGTCTCAGCCTATAAGTTGTAACACGCCCAGTGCATGATTTACAGATTTATTTAGATCAATCAAATAATCTTATCTTATTTAACCCCCCTGTAGATTAATTGAGGTCATTTTTAACAAACTTCCCCTTGATCGAGAAATTTACAATTTGACACGCCCGACATTTAATCTATCAAAGATTGGTTTACCAATGTCTTATTTCATATTGGTGGAGATGTGTTATGTGTTTTATTTGACTGTGTGTTTTTTTTAGTAGGATAGGTAGTTGAAACTGGCTATTTTGTTGTTTACTAATCATATCAGGTCTAGTCTAGCTAGGGGCAACCCGGGGCGGTCAAGCTTTTTTTCATCCCAATCCATGAAAATGCTGCCCCTTATAATTAGGGAGGAAAGTGCCACCCGTGAAAGTGCCACCCGTGAAATACCGCCATTCATTCCACACCTCCTTCCGTTACCAAATGTCACAGTAAATTCTTCATAAGGGGTGGCCACAATCTACTTTTCTCACATAGATGAAATTAATTTAATTAAGATTCCAAATTAAGTATTATAATATGGAAAACATTTGAAATGAACAAGCAGCTTTTTTCTCATAGGTGAAAAGCATACAATGCGTTGCTTTTCTGGCATAATGACTTTAAGTTGAGGTTCAAAGTTATAGTATTCCTAGAGTCCAATTCATCAAAATTGCTTGCAAAAGCTTATCTGATAAGATTGCTATGTAACTAGATTTCAATGTCTTCATTCAGCTGAGTCACATGACATTGTGGCAGGGTAAATCTGGATATTCCTCTTTTACTTTGTAAAAAATTGAAAAGCTGACAAAGATTTTACATGGTTTTATCAACATCTGTTGTGAGGTCCTACAATCTAAATTTTACTGAGTAATAGATTTTTCTACCTCTTAGAAAATATCATCCGCTGTTGTTGCATGCAGACTTTTAACAGTCGCTATTTCTTCTTTGACTTCAAAATCACTATGGAAACCGCGGGCTGGATAAACCAATGTCGCTGACCGAATGTGGCCAGCTGGCCATCATTTTCAGACCCTGTTTTAATCAACCAATTTTTACCATGCATTAAGACATTTTTTTTTTACGTTAATCTCCGGGGACGCGATGGACCCACTTTCGGACTCATTGACAATCTAGTAACTGCTCACCATGTTGATCTCCTCAAACTCAGTCCGAGAAAGATTGTAGTAAAAGCTATGACCATCCATCAAATCAGGAACCTCTATAATCACGTGGTCTAATGATGAGAGTTGAAGCTTAGCTTTCTCAATCTCGGTCTGTAGTTTTTTCCTTGTGTTGCCTCCCCACAGAATGTCTTTACCGCCGTTGGCATCCTGAATGGTTTTCAGCAGTAAGTCCATCACTCGCTTGTTCAACACTTCGCCACCTATACAGCACAATTGTATAAAACTTAAAATAATTAATTGTCAAACTTTCCGAAAATGATTTTAGCTACCGGTGATATTTAATATGAACAAAATAGAATTGGACCAAAGATTTCTGACACCACTGTATCCTGTCTCATTACAACTCCACTATGTCCTGTCTCATTACAACTCCACTATGTCCTATCTCATTTCAACTCCACTATGTCCTGTCTCACTATGACTCAACTATGTCCTGTCTCACTATGACTCCACTATGTCCTGTCTCACTACAACTCCACTATGTCCTGTCTCAATATGACTCCAATATGTCCTGTCTCATTACAACTCCACTATAACCTGTCTAATACATAGTCAATGTTTGCTAGCTCCTATTCCATGGGTCTCCAAACTTTTCAGCCCGAGGGCCGCATTAACTATCAAACAGCAGCTTGGGGGCCGACTACACACTTGAGGTCCAAATAAAAAAGAATCAAAACATGGTTGTTGTTTTTAATTATTTATGTATTTTATTTAAGTCAGTTATTATTTAATAACACATTGATACACGACACATGAACACCTGTATTAGTGGGAATGGTGAAATTGTTTCCTTGATGCCAAAATAGCAGTGATGAGCAGACATTTCTGGATTTAGATTTGATGTCTCTAACATCAACAGTGACCTGACAAATTTTTTTCTCAAATTGTTCTTCACGTATTTGTTCTTAAAAATGTTTGTGCACACAGGCATGTTGCTCCAAAGATTGAAAGGTGCATGTATGCAAATGTTTTGAAATTAGGAAAGTCTTCCTTGGGTGAAAATTAATTAAAAACCCACCGGTCCTTCTTTTAACTTGTCCCTAAGGAGGTCATTTGCTTACAACTCAATGACCTCCAGGTGCAGTTCATCTGGGCGACTGGCCACATCTACTTCAAATGGGTTTTGAAAAAGTTTCACTTCTTCTGCCTTTAAATCCAAGTCAGAAAACCGCTGCTGACACTGCAGCTGGAGGTCTTTCATGATCTCACATGCAAATGACCTGGGGAACTCTGCTGTTGCTTCAGCCATGAAGACCTTGCACTGCTGAAAGTGCGTCAAGTTGTTGACCTGTACTTGTTCCAAAAAACAAGACGAATTTGGATCTGAAGGCCTTTAGGTGGGTGTATAGATCAGAAACTACATTTTCCTCTCCTTGTAGTTTTAGGTTCAAAAAATTCAAATGACTACTTATGTTTGCAGCCAAGACCAATTTCCATACCAACTTTTCATCAGACAATGATGGCTGTGGCTTGGCTTTACTTTCCAGGAAGTCACCTATTTCCTTTCTTATCTTAAATACTCTGCTCAGAACTTTCTCACAACTTAGCCTTCTTATTGCTGTGTAATATGGTAAATTTTGCGATTCTGTGTCTTCATCTTTCAACAGGTGTCTGAACTGTCTATGGTTGAGCCCATGTGACCTCATTAAATTAACCCTCTTTAGCACAGGATTCAGTACGCTGCTAATTTCCACATATTTAGCACACACAGCTTTCTGCTGAATAATACAGTGCAGGAACATTGGTTACAGAATTTTTTTCTCATTACACATCTGCTTCACTTGTCCAACCAAGTCTTTCTTTATAGCACTCATGTTATTTCCTCCCTCAACAGTCAGGCAACTGAGGATAGTCCAGTCCAAGTTATAATCAGCAAATGTTTTTTTCAACTCATCAAATATATCCTCGACGGTAACAGTGTCGTACATGCTATGTAGGAAAGCCAGCTCTTGTGTTATGTTCAGGTCTTCATCCACACCTCTAACGAACACAAGCAGTTAAGAGGTGGAACAGCTGTCCAGCGTTTCATCCATTGCAATTAAAAATTGGCGAAACTTGCTTGCATTTTCACTATTTTAGTCACGATGTTTTCACCCATGTCTGCAACACAGTGGGCAAAGCTCCGCCACTAGATGGCATTGTATCTCATTGACTGTGAACGCAAGTAGAAAAACTATGCAGCGAATAAGGTTTTGCCAAGTAACGATTGGTTAGAAAACATAACGCACTACTGCGCGCCTCTATTTTAATTCGGTAAAAACATAACATCCACGTAAGCGGTGGCTGATCTTGGCAGGATACAACTAAATTTCCGTAATTTTTTCCGTAGACAAAAAGGTCTCCGCGGGCCGCATAAAAGGGTTTCGCGGGCCGCATGCAGGCCGTAGTTTGGAGACCCCTGTCCTACTCCTACAGATTTCTTACCAAGGTAGGGGTCCGTGTGACCAGCCACCACAGAGACGACACCGTAGTCAAGAAACAGAACAAACACGCCCAAGCTGCTGGTGCCCTGATGGATCACAAGATGAGTCTGTTCCTTGTTAACGTTGTTAATCTCTTCATATGGATAGGCCATAGCTGCAGCTACTCTATCATCAAGGATATATTAGTTGATACATGTTTACTCTGCTCAGTATCTTCCTTGAAGCGGTAAACTGTCAATGTGATGTGTCCTCTGTCCGGTCAAAAAAGAGTCAATGCTGTTATATGTCTGATGTTAATAATAACACCATAAACACATTGGTTTTGATGTCTTTTCAATACATATTTACAGTAAGACCACCAATATGATGGAGACTGGAGAGCAGAAACAGTAAGTAATAATAGAAAACTTATTAACAGGTATAAAATGGTGCGTGGTTTCCAGTGTTGTGACGCACTGCTGATTTCAGAAGACTTTTAAGAAGACGAGGTTTTTGGTGTTCCTGCTCCACTTTGGATCTTTGGCACCCCCCCCCCCCCCCCCCCCTCCGGCAATGTCCCCCCCCCCCCCCCCCCCTTTTCCCCCCTCTTTTAAGAAGACGAGGTTTTTGGTGTTCCTGCTCCACTTTGGATCTTTGGCCCCCCCCCCCCCTCCACCATTGGGACAATGTCCCTCCCCGCCGCAGTCATTTTTCCCCCCTAACAAACGCAAACAAAATTTTCAACGTGGAGTACGGAGTGTAACCATGTAATCACTACTTTTGTGTGTAAAATCTTACATACTGTAATTGATGAGTTTGCTAATAATAGGCCAGGGAATGTCAATACAGGTTGCGATTTAATTGTTCACTTTTCTAATGTAATTTTGTGGCTTGGTCACTATAGGGGGAAAGTAGAGATGGGGCCACTTTAAGTTTAGAACAATATGGGATCCAAAATAATCTGTACTGACACCCGGCTGACAGGACCACTGATGGGATCAGTTCGACTTACGGCTCACTCAACAGTACGAGGACATCCAAACCAGCAAGTGTGGCAGCGTGTCTGATGGCCTGCCTCTGAAGGTCAGTAAAATGGTCTGGGATGGTGAGGACCACCCTGGTAACATTCTGACCCAGGTATGTGCTGGCCATCTCTCTCAGGTGTCTCAGATAAAAAGCAGTGATCTCATCAATGCTGATGTCGCGAAGACCCCTATCTGAATTAATCTGGTATAAATTGTTATAGTTAGTTCATTAACGTATATTTATAGCCCCCGCTTGCCACACTTTTTATTTCTCCTTCACTACTGAAGTGCATGTCCAAAAGCTTGGGAGCAGGAAGAGGGTGACAGAGGAACAAATACACAAATCAAATAAAGCCTTTTTAATTTAAATTAGTTCCTTGAGCTTATAGAGTTGGACCAGCATGACTCATACATCGGGACATCAAGTGAAGCACTTTGGGCACAATACGTCCTAAAGAGTTTGCTAACTATACCAGATAAAGTAAACTGAGGAAGAACGTTGCATTTGATAAGATACCTTAAAAGTTAAATTTAGGTTGTAACCTGTTATGTAGACAGTGACCAGTAGCGTCACATGGTGGCCATCCATAAAGTATGTCACATGCTGGAGGATGTCTAAGAAAGTGTGACAGTTTGTAACACATTTGGAGGGGGAGGGGAGTGTAAAGATCTTGTGTGATGTCATTCTTTTTTTATTGTTTTATAAAAAGTATAAAACCTGAAATTGACGGTGATGTTGAATTTTCAGTTGTGACGGATGTATCCTGAAAGTTGATGTCACTTTTATGACTTTAGTAGTTTAATAGTGAAGAGTGTTTAGATTAAATTTGAGTTAGTTTTTCAGTGTTGAACAATTTTTCAGTTCGAAGGTGTGCATACTTTAGGGGGCGGGGGCAAGATTAGACGGAGGGGGTAAAAATTGTCAACAAATTGTGTGACAAACTTTATGGATGGCCTCTATGATTAAATACAGAGGTGGTTGTTAAACACAGGGCTGCAAGGTGCCAAAATGGGAGGGAGAATTTAACATTTGGTAAATTAATATTCTGAAGAGACTGAGGAATGGTATTTCAATACTGTTGACTGAAGGGTTTTAAAATGGATGCAAATAGTGCAGGCAAATAAGTCAAATATATGCAGGTGAAAACAGAATAAGTAGCATATGTTGGTGAGGCAAAAATGGAGGTGAAAACAGAATAAGTAGCATATGTTGGTGAGGCAAAAATGGAGGTGAAAACAGAATAAGTAGCATATGTTGGTGAGGCAAAAATGGAGGTGAAAACAGAATAAGTAGCATATGTTGGTGAGGCAAAAATGGAGGTGAAAACAGAATAAGTAGCATATGTTGGTGAGGCAAAAATGGAGGTGAAAACAGAATAAGTAGCATATGTTGGTGAGGCAAAAATGGTTGGGGATGGATAAAAGTATTGTAAATAATAAGTAGATGTAGGGGAGCCATATTACTCTGCTACGGCCCGGGAAAAATTGTAGAGGACATGTATAACAACATTATGGAGTCAGAGTTGTGACAATTTTACTGCGTAGCAATAAGTAGAAAAAACAGAAACATCATTAGGACACCTAAATCCAATACTTTGGACATTTGACAATGTATGAGTATAATAACTTATACTATATATAGATACAGCTGTCATCGAGGTCACCCTGTCACAACTCTGGTGTAGCTAATTCTTAAATCAAGGAACATACCGTAATGATTGGCAGACTGTTGTTAGCAGACCATGGGCCGTACCTTAATGATTGGCAGACTCTTGTTTCCTTCTGCAACTTGAAAAGGATAATGTTTAATGGCATCCTGCATGATAGGATCATCCCCTGTCCTGCCAATCAGACGCTTCATACCGCATATCACATTGTTTGAGCTGGCGGCATCCATGGTATCAAGTCCAACTAACAAGCCATAATCTTTGGTGACTGCGACACATGATGGGAACATGTACTGACCGTGTGAGTTAGGGATAATCTCAAACACTTCATCGCTGTAAATACCCATACTGTAATAAGACAGAAAAGTGGAGCTGATATTTTCTAATAATAAATCATTTGTGGAAAAATTTTTAAATTCTGCTTTTTGTGATGTTGAATGAATTCAGTTAAATAAGTTATTGTTTTACTTAAACTTAATAAGATCAAAGTTATTACATGTGAAAAAAAAAATCAATAAATCTTTAAAGTAAATGGTAGTATACCAAGGTGTTTTGAAGTACCGTACATGTAATAGAAACATCTTCAATGATGAATAACTTCAAATAATCAAAATCTTCAGTATTATCAGACATTAAATTTGAAGTCTGTGAAACAATTATTGGAACTGTACAAAACTATAACATGGACCTGCAGGACTCCATGATTGGGACTCCATGTAACGATGTTCCAATAACATTAATAAAACCAATCAAAATTTTCATGCACAACAAAAGCTCTGTTTTTGTGTTTGAAAATGGTCCATGTGAAACATGTGCACAACATCTCTAGTTTAATATAAATGATGCATGTGACGTATGTGCAATGTTCTGATGTTTGTTATGGAATTTTGACATGGCTTTTATTGTTTGGATTAAATCCATATTAATGATAACAAAATCATTAAAGCCAGGGCTTCACATACACACACACAGAATATCTAAATTAAACTACGCATCAAACTGATAATTATAGCAGATATTTTTTTTTATGACCTGCATTTGTTTCCGCATTGGTATCCCCACTTTAGTTAGTAAAATGATAATGAAATTATTTCTTGTTCAATTGTAATTTTACCTTTAAAATATTTAATTTCATTTAACAGAATATCAGCTGTTTCAAATATGGAACAAACAATTGGCTGTAAAAATAATGTACTCAACAGTTTTGAAGCTGTGACAAAAGAATCATAATTCATTACCGAGTATTTGAAGTCCCGAAATCAATGATAAGTATTGGGCTTCGCTCAGCACATACCATGACCATCCAACATAAAGCAAGAGTCAGTAAGCATACTTTTTGAATCATTCTGTTCTTTGGTCATAGTACTGAAAGGCAAATAAAATACTATATATACATTAATTCAAAATGACTACTCTAGCAATTCAAATTGAATAAATTGACAGAGATGAAAACAAGTTAAGTAGGGTTTCATCTTAACAAATATTAAAACAAACTTGATCCAATTGTCATTTCAAAGTTACCCTGTAGGCACTGTGGAAAGAAAGTGGTGTGCAGCATTTTTGGCCAACTGCAGAAGTTATTTTCGTGGAAAGGGGTGGCAAAAATCTTGGCCCGTCCCAGTTACTCTAAAGCCAGTAGGCCTGTAGTGTTCAATGATTCATGATTTTCAATAACCTTCTCCACCTATATTTCACCCTGAGTCTTCCTTGTATGCATACATAGAGATAAGTTAATATGTGATCTTTCAAAATACAAGTTGTACTCTAGTTATTATCTTTGTTGTATTTGTGAAAAAACAGTGTCAGTTACTGCAGTGTTATTCATATCTTTATTTTCAGACTCGGTAATTTCTGTGAACCAAATTGTGTTATGTGTGCAGGGCTAAAAGCGGCACCAAACTGAAGTCTGAAAATGTGGCCCATCAATATATGGAAAAATTTGCTGCCCTGGATGGACCAATAAAAAGATGAATTTGCGCCCATTGTCTTTCATTCATTGCTTTTAAGAAGTACATGAGATTTTATTGTTTATTTTGATTTCAGGTCCTTTCTAAAGATGACTTGTAAAACAGATAAATTGAATTTTAATTGATTTCGATGGAAATAATTATTATGGTTAGTGAACATTTCAGGGTATGGAGTCAATCCAACATAGAAACTTAACATAAATATGTAAATTACATCATGGTGAGAATTGTCTACGTTAGCCTAAATATAAGGTCTATAGCGCTACAGTCCTCTTGATATTGCTCTACGGATGTGAAACATGGACAGTCTACCAGCGCCGAGCCAAGAAACTGAACCATTTTCACACAACCTGCTTCAGGAAACTCCTTGGCATCAGGTGGCAAGACAAAGTTCCTGATATAGAGGTCTTCGGTAGAGCAAACCTACCTAGTATCTTCACCACTCTGATGCAGTCTCAACTGCGTTGGATGGGACACGTAGCTCATATGGAAGATCACCAGCTCCCAAAACAGATATTCTTCGGAGAACTCACGATAGGCAAGCGCTACCAAGGAGGTCAAAAAAAGCATTACAAAGACTCACTGAAAGCGGCACTAAAGGCCTTCAGCATCAACCCTACTCAATGGGTGCAGACATCCCAGGACAGATTTAGGTAAAGAGCAGCTGTCAAGAGGGGGGGCTAAATCTCATGAAGCCAGAAGGATAATCACAGCTGAGACACGCAGGCTAGCCCGAAAGAGCAACGTTATATCACTGACTGCAGCAACTATCCCCTGCCCGTGGTGCTAGAGATTATTCCTAGCACGGATCGGACTTGCAAGCCACCTACGAGCTCACAGTAACACCCTCCCCCTAACCGGATTAATCGATGGCTGATGGTCCTAGTCGATTTTGACGGATAAACAACATATTATTATTATTATTTTTTTAAAATAGTATGGTCCAGGGTCTATTATTAAATAACTATTATGCTTCCATGTCCGTTTAAAAAAAAAACAAATATTGGCTGAGCGGCTCAGTATTCTAATTCAGTGAATCAGTGACTGTGACAGTGCTCATAGTCACAGTAGTCACACTCACACAGTCATTATAGTGTTCTCACTCATTTTCTGGTTCTGGTAATCATAATGTTTCCTTGCTGCATCCATGTACTGGCATTTTTGCAAGGGTTGGGGGTATGATGTTGCTATTCTAACACTAACAGCTCCTAGCTGATGCCAGGGCAGCCTTGAAGCTTTCGACTGATGTCGAGTTCACAGTGGCATCGTTCAGGTTGTTCCATGCTATTATTGTGCGTGGGAAGAAAGATTGTTGATACTGCACTGTGTTGCACCGAGGCACTTTGAAGCATTTTCATTTGCCATTTGTATTGAATTGTCTTTCTGACTTTCTGGTGTAGATAATTGTCTGTCATTTGATTTTAAAATTAAACATATCTAAACTGGGGCCTATATAATTTACTAACGAAGGTCCTATAGACTAAATATTAAACACAATTTAATCAAATATACGCTACATTTGAATGATGTAATACGCGGAATCACAGCGCTTTAAAAATAATTATTTTAGTCGTTAAACTAGCCCCATTGAATGGTGAATGTTTTTAAAAAGCACACAATTCAAAATATGTCAGATAGACTATTCATTTGGTGTGATATACATTATTTCGGAAAATGCTATTAATATTTAATTTTCATTGTAAATATTTAATTTATATATACATTTATATGCAAATATATTTAAAAATTTTAAAACTTATTCACACAATGAGTTCTAAAATATGAGCTACGTGTTTTGTTTTAAAATTATGGCACACCACTTTCTGCACACCTTGTTGCCAATTATCTGGACGGACACAAAATGGTTGTCTGGTTACAACTTAGCGTATTTAGACAAATGGCGTCGATCACTAAAATTCGATGATGAGTTTGCAAACAAATGAACTGTCTTGGAATTAGAATCTCTTTTTGAATAAATTTTACAAAAGAAGGTTTTTACATTTTTCTTGAAATATGTATGATTAACAAATTACAATTGAAAATAATAACTATCGACTATCATTCATTGAAATCAATCATTATAAAACTATATTATATTAATATTATTAATTATAAATTATATTATTAATGAATTTTAATCGCGGAGTATAAGAACCGGCAGCCTAAAACTAATCACGGGTTTACACTAATTTTAAATGTGATTGTTAGTCAAAACTAGAATAAAATGAGTGATGGAATGATCATCAATGCGGATGCAGTAGTCTAGAGCGTAGAGACTGACAGTATTAATTAATAATAATTATAATTAGTGGTCTTTTATAGCGCAGTCTAGGGCTGGCCTCACCGTGCTGTACATAAAAATATGGTAAATTTTAAGGACGAATGCCACATTTTTATCAAATTTCACGAATGTATCCCTAAATCGATCCCTATGCCTAACCCTAACCCTAAATCGATCCCTATGCCTAACCTGAACCCTAAATCGATCCCTCAACCTAACCTAAACCCTAATTCACTGCAACTATAATAAACACACAAAAGACGCCGTGGCATCCCTCCTTAATATCAGCCAAAAATATTATCAAAGGAGACATAATCAGGACATTAAAATCAAATACAATTGTGAAATAAAGAACAGCATGAACCCCAAGACTTTAACAAGGCAAACCATGGACGGCAGCCAACAAGATCATTTATTGGTCAGAGGAGGGGAATCAGTCAGGGTAGTATAGTATAAAGAGATGAGTTTTGAGTGCAGTTTTGAAGGTTTGGGTGGTTGGTATATTGCGGATGTGTAGTGGCAAAGAATTCCATTGTTTAAGGGCGCAGAAAGAGAAAGATCGTTCACCATATGTTTTAGTGTGTGTCTTGGGATTGGACAGAATACGTGTGTCTGCTGAGGAGCGAAGCTGTCGAAGGGGTGAATAGACAGAAAGAAGTTCCGTTAGATAGGAAGGGCAGGAATCTGATAAAAAGGCCTACTAATTATTAAAGTTAAAGCTTCTTGAATTTTATGAATGAATCTAAATCTAGGACCTAGCACTTACTGAGTCATGATTTCAAATTTCAGAGCTGTCAGGCAATGTAAGGGGCAAGTCTTTAGGCCTAGTTTTGTTTTTTGAATAAGAAAGACTCGCACCAAGCCTAATGCAACCTATGCTACTACCTGCCTATTATATTACTAAATACGTCACATTGGGACATGGTGTCGGTGGGCTGTCGAGCTCTTAATGCCCCCCAGCACACCTCATGGACCATTAACCGGGTGTCCCCGTCACCAGACTATGTGGTGGCACATCGGGAACCTCCTCCCTGGCCTGGGGGATGTCCGATCACCAAAAATGTGGCGTTTAAAGCATTCGCAGTCCACTCTCCCTAAGGGTCTTGGAGGGTTTGCTTTGACTCCGGAGGAAAGGGAAGTTTTCTATGCTGGCACAAAACGGTTGCCTCAGAGCAGCTTCTCAGGGCTGCGTAGCTAAAATCATCCGCACCCAAGCCTCATATCCTTCAACGGCAACAAGTAATCATGTTACGTTTCTACTCACGTTGTGTTAGGAGTCATGCCATCGGCCCGACGTTTTTTGCTTCGGGAGAACAGTACCTCCCTACTAGTCTGACACCCATGAAGAGGCAAATGCCATGTGGATGCCCCCTCCCCCCAAGTTTTCTGGGTATCGTGTTCCTCTCGGAACCAGACTGTATTACTACATTGACTAACTATACTATAGACTATAGTTTAGACTTTAGACTAGTCCACTAGTCCTTCAACTCACTCATTCATAATGATAAATCACTAGCTCACTAAACTCAGTTATTTAATTCATAGTTATGGCATAATTTCTCAGGCTCAAGTACAAAAAAAAATTCAACATTGTCAGTTGTAGGTGTAGTTAATTTTTTCATGTTGCTGGAGAAAGGAACAAATGTTTTTTTAATTAACACACAGTAACTGAGTAACCAAGTAAATTGTTGGCATGTCGGACTCAGAGGATGAAGCACCTGATAAACAATTAAAGTTGATTGTAATGGGAGATGGAGCTTCAGGAAAGGTGAGTTGTTAATTAAGTAATGTAGACTATATTTAACACATTTGTTTTATAAATGATGCCACGATTAGGTCTTGATTTAAATTGAAAATATTCCTCAAATCTCAGTTGATGTAAATTAACGGTAGACCTAATCTTGTAATCTAGAGTCTTAGTCATAAATTTTATGCAAATGAAGAAAACCGTAGTGTCATTGTTATATTTTCTTTATTTATTAAAATATTTATTTTGTTGCTAAGATTCCGTCTTGACATCAGTTTGAGGTAAAAAAACAATAATTATTCTTTACGAACTTTAATAGATCAATAAATTAAGTTATAAAGACTTTTTTTTGTCAGTATAAGTATAAAGAGACTAATTAGGTTTACTTATAGAGCTCTTCTATCTTTGAAAATTCCTCTTGATTAAAGTATTGACATTTGCGGTAAATATGTACTATTCATGCTACTTATTTCCCCATGTTTTTGGACTGCTTTTTTTTTTTTTTTTCTTTTTTTTTTTTTTTTTCTTATATCCATGGCCACCATCTTTGTTGCCATGATGTCATGGCAACAAAGATTGCATCTGTGTAAAAAAAAAAAAAGAAAAAGAGTAAAGCAAAAATTCGTCTGCTAAAATAGGGAGAGAAAAGGGAGAGAATGTGTTGTTTTAGATACTTAGAGAGGCAAAAGAAGATAGGGCAAATAATGAGCATAGATAATTTTTTTTAATGAAAAATGATTTAAAATAGTTGTATTTTTAAAAATTGCATAAAAAGGATAATATTTGGAAAAAGTGAACAATTTCAAAGAAAAAATATCATGCAAATTTAATGGCATATTTTTTTGAGAAAAACCTGCAAACCTAAAATCGATAATTTGACCTAACCTGAATGCTAAATGTCCTGAGAAAGAAAATCAGTATCCCTAACTCAAGTGTAATCTTCAAAACTAAACAAAGCCCCCCTTACTAGGGCGTAAATCTTCAAACCTAAAATCTATGACCTTACGTGTACCCTAAAACCACGTGTTCATGTGCTACAGCTACAGTTACACACTTTACTGAGAAAATCATAAATTTGAGCATAAAGATTAAAATCATTAAAAAAATATTCATTATAATTATCCCTCGTTTATCATGGCTAATCAGTTTCAGACTCTACTGTGATACTGAATTTCTGTGAAGTGTGACTCTTTTTTTTAATAAATAAAATATTTTTGTAGTTAGAGCATAGAAAAGCTGTCGCTGTTCACAACCCTCTAAATACGGTTTTTAACATTATTAGATCCTCTGTGGGGCTTGAATACATAGGCCCACAGTTCATACGTACAGTAATTTTAATTGTAATTCAAGGGTATATGAAGTATATCATTTTCACTATCTCAATCAACTTTTTAATGAATACATGTTATGTTTGAAAAAAAACATGTTAGAGTGAAGTTGCGAAAGTCAAAGATTGAAATGGCAAGGGACAACTGTAATGAAAACACAATAAAATGCGTAAAGCAGAGTAGGGTTAAACCTGAAAAAATAAACGCAACAAAACAGCGAACGTGTCGGCAGAAAGCCTTCGTCAGCGAACAAAACAACAGAAAAAACGGTATAAAAATAAAATTAAAAATAAGAAATAGCACTTAGCTGGTAAGTAGATTCTGAGGGCAGCATTTCTATTTCTATTTTACTCATCTTATTTTGTTCTAACCTGATTGCAGTCTTTCCCCTTATTACCCCAAACACAACTTACAGTTTCTTTGAATACACTTTTTCACACTTTATTACAGGTTCCACTGAAAATAAAATCCAAAAGATGTCGTCAGAAAATTCAAAATGCATTTTTCTTATTAATCAGACAAAATATCGTCGTTATGAATTATTAATGTTAAAACAGACATTGATCAAAAACTTTCCATTGGCATATTAATATGAAGAAAGAGAATAGTTAACTCTAGTCACAATGAGCGACTAAACAAAGGGGAGAGAATACTACAAAGAAACTCAGTGTGGCGCGAAAAGCTTATATTGACCACAACTGGCAGAAAATTATTTGTATTAAAATTCATTTTTAAGAGTTTTTTGGAAATAATAATAGGATAACACTGACATTTTTAGTTTCTACCTGATGTGTTTTATAGTCATTCAAGAAGGAACGAATTATTAGTTACAAATGCATAAATAGGACTAAGGGCGATGGACATTCATTTTTAAACTTAAAATGCAAGATTACAACATGTAAATTCTCAGTAATACTTTTCATTCTCATCAAAGAACACCCACAGTCAGAATCAGCACCAAAATAATAATTGAAATGGTCTCGATTGATTTTGAGGGATGAACTAATCACCCAATCTGGTTGTGGTATATTTTAAAATAAAATTGATGCTTAGTAACATGTTACTAATGAAATAAAATAATTTCATGGGAAAAAAATACTAAAATATATTCGCAACTATTTCAGTATTAATTTGAACCATATGCTGGGATAAATTCCTTCAGAACACAGAATTTGTTGTCCAAGGCAATGCCCAAGAGGGTCCAAATTGAAGATTTTATTATAATGTAATGTGTTAAGCTAATGTAAATTTAAAGGTATTTCTTCTAAACATCATTAATTTGTTGTTTTTTTTTTTCAAATATCCTAATGACTTTATGATTATTTATATGTGCTTTACTTCCCAGACGTCATTGTGCATGAGATATTCTCAAGAACAATTTTCCAAAGATTATGGCCAGACTGTGGGATTAGATTTTTATCTGAAAAGAATCAATCTGCAAGGTATAAATTTAGTTGATTTTGTTTGGAAAATATTGATCTTGAATGTCTTTTTCCTAATCTTCCTAAACTATTTGTGGCGGCAACTTAGATGGTATATGATGTTTGACACAGAATAACTAACTTAACTTGCAAAATAATTTTCTCATACACAGGAAACACAAATGTAGCTTTGCAAGTCTGGGATATTGGTGGACAAACTCTAGGAGGAACCATGTTGGATAATTACATATTTGGAGCTCATGTAAGTCTATTATCCCACATGTATATTAACTAATTCTTGGAAAATATATTATTGAAAAGATTTTTTTTGTAAAATTAAAGATTTCCTTTGTAAAGTAAACACAAATATGTAACGCTATTATTAACATGCTTACATGTAAGAATTGGGAATGGGCCGATTCACCTCCGCCATTTTGCTGCGTGTCATTTCCCCACCAGGCTATTTTACCTACAGCCCTTTTTCCAAAGGCCCTTTTGCAGACAAGCTATAGACATTATTTAAATTTGTAAGTGACAACATAAATTAAGAGTGGTTAAAACCATGGGCGTCCGCAGGTAGGGGCAAGGGGGGCACTTGCCCCCCCCCCGGATTGATTGGATAAAAAAATTTTGAGACAAAAATAGACCAAAAATGTATTAAAGTAAAGAGAAAATAAAGAAAAAGTACTAAGCTGATGTCCTGTCCGTTCGTTCACCATACAAATGCGCTACAGTAAATTAAAACTATATTAAAACATTACTAAAAAATTTTTGACCCCCCTGGAAAGTTAATCGATTTTTTTGCCCCCCCTAGAAAGTTTTCTGCGGGCGCCCATGGTTAAAACCATGTTGAATATTCAAGAATGCAAAACTGCCCATCTGCACAAGGGTCCTTAGGCCTTACAGCGGTGGGGAACTGCCATAGATTCTTAGAATTAATATCTTTCCTTTTCATCAACAGGGAGTATTGCTTGTTTACGACGTGACTAGTTTTTCAAGCTTTGAGAACTTAGAAGATTGGTTTAATGCTGTCAAGAAAGTTTGTGGATCAGGACCCATGCCACACATGGCTCTCATTGGAAATAAAAGTAATCTGTTCTTACTCTTCATTTATTGAGCTCAGAATAACCTATGTTTTTCATGCCATTGTGTATTTATTCACTTAAAAAAGCCGCCTGAGAGAAATTTGCACACTCTCTTTTAAAGATGTTAATTGATAAAATCGTTTATTAATAAGAAATATATCCAAATTTTTATTTCACCCAATAGATTCAGTAGACCTGAAATATTGTACTTTTTAGTTTAACACACAGTGGCTTACCTTCATTTAATGTCCCCAGGCCAAACTCCAAAAATTGAAAACTTCCCACACAAAAGATAAGATTCTTTTATTGATCCAACTAAATGGCAATGTACATGATAGTCTTTGTCTGAGATTTTTTTTTTAACTTGGTATGTAGGTAGGTGTTATGTGAACCACTGTGTGGTTAGATTCTAGATGGGAAAATAAACTATGAGATGTGTTGGCTATTTTATCCCCCCCCCCCTCTCTATAAGCCACTTTTAACACATAAGTATATGCTTTGAAAGCCACATCAAGGTACATCCAATGCTACTGTTTAGCCCTGGTTTGGTTGCCCATAGTAAATCACTATGATTTATAACTATTCAAATCTCAAGAAGCATCTCATTGTTTGAATTTGAAAAGATGCAAGATTGCCATTGCGCCTTTCAATCCTTGTGCGCTCTAGCCTTAACCTTTCCTAATTTTTCTACCACCATACCATATTTTACAAGACTGCCTCCCTCCTTACACAATTTATAGATGTTGCTGATGTTGTTAAGATTTTTAACAGATGAAAAAAAAATTGTGCACATTTTGTTGCCTATAAAAGAAAGCATTATTCAAAGAACATCAAAAAGTTATTGATAAAGAAATTTCTAATTTTTTATTTCTTTATAAATTGATTTTTTTAAGGTGACCTTGAGCACTTGCGGACAATAAAACAAGACAAGCATCAGAAGTTTGCCCAGGACCACAACATGAGCAACTATTATGTGTCTGCCAAAACAGGAGAATCAGTGAGTCAAGTTTTAAGTTTACAGGTTTTTAGACTTTGAATTATATTTTTATTTTATTTTTTAAATTATATGAGAACAGGTTCCTTGAAAAGTTCCCCAGCCACCTGTAACATTTTATTTATTTATGATATGATTAGGATAGGTCTGATGTGGCGTAGAATCTGTGGTGATATGATTAGGATAGTCCAATCTGGCCTGGAATCTGTGATGATTAATATGATTAGGATAGTCTGATCTGGCCTACAAAAATCTGGTTCAACTTCAACTTAATGAATGAGCAATTCTCAATTAATTTATTCGAATAATATTTTTTGTTAGTGCTTACCACATGAAACTTCACTTTTTCCATTCAGGTAGCCTTGTGTTTCCAGAAAATAGCGGCTGATATCTTGCAGGTAAAATTGAGTAAACCAGAGGTTGACCAGCACCAAAGAGTGGTCAAGGCAGAGATTATTGATTACAACAACTCGTATGGATCAACAACAAGGAAATCACCAGCCAGACAGCAGGCCAAGAGTTCCCTGTGTAACATCACATGACTTGCATCTGTACATAGCCAGCATTGTTGTAACCAGTATGTTTTGTTTTGTTTAATCTGATGGTGTAATTACAAGCTTGTGAACAGACTTACAGAAGCCTTTGGCTTAAGCCCAAAATAATAGCATTGCAGTATTCCAGATGTAACTTTAAAAACATAATGATTTTTAAACAAACATTAAAGATAACTTCTAAAGATCTTCAGTGGTTAAAAGAAAATACTGTTTGGCAACACTTCTTGTCTAATCTTTAAGTGAACAGCATATGTTTTTGATTTCTTTTCAATTTCTTTGAAAATGTTATCTTTATTTTATTTATTGAAATGATATTATTAAGAAGGATTGGTTTACATTGAATGTCTCTTTATTGGTGTGCATCCAAGTGAACAATCTATCTTGCCCCAATTTTAATGTCTCTTTATTGGTGTGCATCCAAATGAACAATCTATCTTGCCCCAATTTTAATGTCTCTTTATTGGTGTGCATCCAAGTGAACAATCTATCTTGCCCCAATTTTAATGTCTCTTTATTGGTGTGCATCCAAATGAACAATCTATCTTGCCCCAATTTTAATGTCTCTTTATTGGTGTGCATCCAAATGAACAATCTATCTTGCCCCAATTTTAATGTCTCTTTATTGGTGTGCATCCAAGTAAACACTATCTTGTCACAATGTTTTATATAAACAGCAGATAAAGAGAAAGAAGATTTAATTTTTGTTAAAGAAGCTCTGATAATGATAATGTAATGTAAATAAAAGCTGCCCCTTTGTCAAATCTGTCTGGATTCCCTAAGACAGTGACCGGCAATAGATGGTAGGACATGTGCTGCAATTGTTAGTTACACAGGAAACATTGTCTTTCTCTATAGTACACCGGGCAAACTTGACTTAACATTACATTGTAGCTAGCACGTGCTAGAAATTAGGAATATATAAAGCTAACAAGGGGAGACAAGCTACTGCATAATTCAGCACTGCCGAAAGTCAACAGATAATATAAGGCATTTGGTTTTGGGGGCATGGGGGTCTAGCGGCAGTTATCCTTGGATGAAATTGATCCTGTCAGAGACCAGCTGGAGAGTACTTCCCCCTTGGAGAGCACTTGACCTTTGGAGAGCAAGTTTTTGCGGCCTGATGTTCATAAATAATTCTAATGACTTATCTTCTTGCTATTGATTTCGATCAAACATGGCTGTTTTCATATGTGTTCATATTTTGGTTATGAGCTTTTGGAAACATGCATTGTAGAGAAGTGGTTTTGTAAAAGGCACCAGATGATTTATAAAGAGAGTTAGCCGCAGTAAAGGAGTTGATGGTTAGGATATGAGGAGAGTTACAACATACACATATTAGCTGCAATGAAGGAGTTGATGGTTAGGATATGAGGAGAGTTACAATATACACATATTAGCCGCAATGAAGGAGTTGATAGTTCGGATGACCTGAATGGTGCCAAATGATTTATCTTTAGAAAAAAATAATGACATTATTACAACACTTGCACTCGGGGAAAAATGGAAATAAATGGAAGACTAGGGATGATGTTGTTCCTAGATGATGAAAACGTCAATCACCAGAGGTGCTGAGTGACAGTAACTAGAGCTGTTGGGTTTTATCATATAATCCAGAGCAGATAAAGTTTGTTTTTATTACAGGAAGTTTAAATATGTATATTTCCCTGATAGTTTTAGTTATTTTTTACTATAACTGTTTATTTTAGGGCACACACCTGGATGAGACACTATAACATGGAATTAGGGAAATTCTTCTTGATATTTACAAACAAAATTGTTTAACTCTGTTAAAAAAAAAAGAAATATTTGCATCAAACTCAAACTGTTATTTCTTAAAGATTTTTATCCCCATTAATTTACAAACAAAGGGTTATCTTTCAGACCTTGTGTTGTCACCTTTTCTACAAAGTGGCTTTTATAAAAAGAGAATTAGATTAATAGTCATACAATAGAAAAAAAAAACCAAGATATGGTACAATTAAAGCTCTATGCGGGATGGAAGAAAAAAAGAAATTGTGTCTGCGTAATGTCACCATCAGTTGAGGTGGGAAAAGGCAATAATAAAAAGCCACTTTGTTTAGCAAATGTGCACTCTGTGGTTTCCCAGTCAATAAAGGACATCATGAATTCATCCGCAAGCCGTGTGGTTAGGAGCTCTCCACATTTTTGTTATTATAACCAGTCAGACATCCCTAATGCAGTGTTATACAATATGACAATATTGATTGATCTGCAGCAGTGCGAGATTCAAAACGAATGGTTTATTTAAGAAGAAACGCTTTTCTCCAAAAAAAAATTATGGCAATTATTGTTTGAAAAAAAAAAAAAAGTTTTATCCTCGGGGCGTGAGACTTTCTATAACAATGCTACATTAAAAAGGAATTAAAGGGGGAAACTAGTTTGTTAACTCAGCCAAGGGAATATTCTGTCAGCATTAATAATGTATTTCTTTCTGTGTTGTCTTGTAATTATACAGCATTTTAATGTTTCATTTTTTACTTTAATTATTGTTGCACATTATTCAGCCAGAAAGGGTAAAGAAAAGATTCTGGCTGTTATTTTTGTTTCTAAAATGCAAAATTGTTATGGATTGTTATAGTTTATTTATTGATTTCATGTGTGAATATTTATAACACATGTTTTTGATTTCCTTATTTAAATTGTAATCTTTATGGTTGCTTGTTATTACATAGCTTTTATTTAATAGTAGCACTGCCTAACATCATGATGGTACCATTACCACAGACTAAACTCAATGATGGTACTGCTGACTAAATCAATGATGGTACCACTGTCTGATATCAATGATGGTACCACTGTCTGATATCAATGATGGTACCACTGACTAAATCAATGATGGTACCGCTGGCTAAATTCAATGATGGAATCACTGTCTGATATCAATGATGGTATCACTGTGTAACTTCAATGATGTCACCACTAACATCAATGATGGTACCACTGACCAACATGCTGATGGTGCAGCCTATCATCTTAAAGTAAAGAGAGGATTATTTCAATAGTGGTATTTTTGACATCTGCTTCCTACTGTTGCATCACTGACAAATTTCTACTGACATGTTATCTCTCAGAAGCTGTCATTAAATATCATGTCTGTGATGGTTTTAATCCTCCCCTTTGATGAGATTATTAGCAAATCTCATCTTGTCATCATGATATTGAAATGACATCTCTTTCATTTAATTCTTCTAAACATTTAATTGATGGAAATTTTGGTCAGCAGCTGACCCTGTCCAACACATTGGTCAGCAACTGACCCTGTCCAACACAATGGTCACCAACTGACCCTGTCCAACACATTGGTCAGCACCTGGCACTGTCCAACACATTGGTCACCAACTTACCCTGTCCTGAAATGATCACATGCATCAAATCGTGACATCACTAATTCAATTTCAGTTCTTTGACATGTACAACTTACAAACATGGCATGGGAATGTCATCTAGTGTATGACGTCACTGACTCATGTTGCAACATTTAATGTTTACCTTGGCATACACTATACTCACTCTAAATATATGACAAAGGTCAGAATCGTCCTTGCTGTAATTCTTAGCTCCACTTGTGTGTTGAATTGTGATGTAAATACATTTAATACATTCTATACTCCACGATATTCTCGTTGTCTCATTCAGCTGGTTTGAATCTATTTTTGGAATCTTATTTCACACAATTACTAAATAACCAGTACGGAAACACCATACGAGTCAATTTTTTGTTAAAAATTAACCGTATTTTGTTAAAAAAAATCACGGTTTCAATGTTCAATGAGCAAAGCGCATCCCAGCAAACTGTTGATAGGATTAAATGTGGATTATATTTCCGGTGCAAGTCCGATCTCAGTTTGGGACAAAATATGGTTTAAAATCAATAAATATAGTTGTAATCAAGTGATTTTTTAAAAATTAATACCGGGACCGGTATCAAAATAGTTGAATATAAAACTATCTGTTAAAAATTGCTTGTCTGACTTGATAACTGTTCGGTTGGAAGCCACGGTTGTCAGTGTTTCATCTTGGAAAAGGGGGGGGGGGGTTGCGTTTTGAGGGGGGGTGGAGTTATGAATGAAACTAACTCGACTAATTGGGTAGGGGGTGAGGGGTGCTATGAAGCTAACCTAACTATTGGGTGAGGGGTGCTATGAAGCTAACCTAACTATTGGGTGAGGGGTGCTAT